AATCTTTGATCAAAATATTCAGTAATGGTAGCTGGGCACCATCCATTTCTGGCCTCATGGCAAAGGAGGTAGTTAATTCATGGAGGCAATTACCCGCACATTCCATATCCTCCTCCTATTCCTGACTCCCCTTCTTCCTCTGTTGCTCCAGGCAAACAGAGACCAATTGTCATGACCTGGATGGCCGCTTGCAAGCTTTTGAGACTCCATGCACTATGCAAAAAACTAGGAGGTAGAATAGAAGCACTAAACACGTTATTAGACCAATTAACTGGGATGTCCCATGAAACCATGACCCTAAACCTCCAAACCAAGGAACCAAATCCCATGAGGTGTTTGGTCGGACATAAACAGCCTCAGCAGCTACTTCTTTTTTTAGTCATTGTTTTAAATGTATCTATCACAGAACTTTTGCCAATTCAGCTTGTGTACCACTCATTGACAGCAATTACAATAATCAGCTGTGCAACCCCACCCTTAAGAAAAAAAAAAAAGAAACAATAATGGAAATAAAAATCCATTGGAGGAAAAAGAGAATTTAGCCAGTAAAACATTTTCTAGAAAAATGCTGAAAGTCATTATTATTCCAAGAAAAAAAATTCCCCATTTTTACAACACATATATTAAAAAATACCTAAGCGCTCTCCTGTGTCATAAGACAGTATTTTATAAAGTCATAAAAACATCAATATTACCTGTCAAGTACTACCTCTTGCACGTGTAACCAAAACCGCCAAGGTTACCTGAGTAAGGAATCCCTGGTGTCTATTACAGAAAGCTTTTAATAGAATCTGCCTCGACCATTTATTCCTAAGTCTTCTTTCTTTCCCCAGCTCAATACAATATTGCTACTTAATTTCGTGAGTGCACAAAGCTGTTTTAGGTACTACGTGGGGAATAAGTATTAAGAGTTCAAGCAAATGTAAATGATGTTTTGGCTACCTTTTCTCCAAAGATTTTGCATTAGCATATAGACTGTAATATGACACTGTACTATGTTTATACAGCTTCTACAATTTTATGTAACTCTGTCTCTTTGCAGGTACATACAGTTAATGCTCCTGTTATTCAGGCTTAAAACTAGTGTTGGCCTGGTAGCTCTACCAGCAACGGAGAATCTCAGGATGCTGAACATCGCAGCATATGATGAAACGTTCTGTCTGTTGGCTAACTCCTTAAAGTTTACACGACCAAACACTTGAGATAAAGTTATTTATTGCAAAAAGTAAATGGCAGTTAGATAATCCTCTCCCCATCACTGCCCACAAACTCAATCTTTTGAGCGTTGGCAATCCAATTAAAGAAAAACCAACCAACTAAACAAACAAACAACAATTGTCATCAAGTCGACCCCAACTCATGGCAACATGTGTGTCAGAATAGAAATGTGCTCCATAAGGTTTTCAATGACTGATTTTTTTCAGAAGACAGCCAGGCCTTTCTTCCTAGGCACCTCTGGGTGGACTCATTCAATTTTCAGTTAGCAGCTGAGCATGTTAACTGCGTGCACCATCCAGGGACTACAATCCAATTTTAGATTACTTTAAAAACCTTCCCCTTTTAGCAGCTCGATGTTTGTTTTTTTTTCAGTTAAGATGAGAACTTAGAAGGGGGAGCCTTCGATGACACTCCTTGCCTTGAGAGAGCTGAGGGTTCCATAGACCTTGGGGTGGGAACAGGTAACTGCACATAAGGAGGGAAGCATAATCTGATCAACATTTACTGTTGTGGACAGAGCTGTGTCCTATAACCATTATGGCTCAGTTCAGTTTTTCAGCCTCCTCCAGTGAAAACTCTCTGCCTGGAACAATCTGCTCCTTGGACAGGCTTAGCGGCTCTGAGCCTGGGGCAACCACAAAAGGGGATTCTGGGACCTTGTCTAGGCTTTGCAAAAATGGGGTGAAATCCCAGCGCCTCGGGCTAACACTGGGTTCTCACCCAGGAAAGGTGATAAACATCATAGTGTCACCATGGCTGAGCTGGTACGAACCTCTCGCCCATGAAAAACACCTTCCAGGAAAGAGAGGGTAATGATTAAGGAGCGAGGGCTGGACAGCACGACTGCCTGCATCCCAACCCTTCCTCCACCACTGACAAGCTGTGTGACCCTGGCCTGTGACTCTACTTCCAAAACAGTTGTTGTTGTTGGGTGCTGTCAAGCCGACTCCGACTAATAGCAACCCTGTGTGACAGAGCAGAGTTGCCCCATAGGGTTTTCTTGGCTGTAATCTTTAAGAAAGGAGCCCTGGTGGGGCAGTGGTTAAGTGCTTGGCTGCTAATCAAAAAGTCAACGGTTTGAACCCACCAGCCACTCCACAGGAGAAAGATATGGTAGTCTGCTTTTGTAAAGATTACAGCCTTGGAAACCCTATGGGTCAGTTCTACTCTGTCCTATAAGGTCGCTGTGAGTCGGAATCGACTCGATGGCAACTGGTTAACCTTTATGGAAGCAGATTGTCGGTCTTTTCTCCCGCAGAGCTGCTGGGTGGGTTCTGACCGTCAACCTTTTGGTTAGCAGCCAAGTGCTTAACCATTGCACCACCAGGGTACTTAGCACAAATACTCAAAACCATAGCAGTTATGATCATTGATTCTTTTTTCCAGAGTATATGGCACTTATTTTTGAATATCATTCTTTTGCAAAGAAAAAGGAATTATAATGAATGCATTGGTACTATCTATTATCAGAATGATACACGCTCATCTAAGAAAACATTTCCTAACTTCTTTATGAAACTCTTGCCAATGGGGAATCCTGTTCTTTGGTTATTTGTAAAATGATGAGAATTTCATATGATTCGCTTTTCTTAGCCTATTCTTGCTGTGTTTTGAATCCAGTATTTTCCCTATTAGGTTTTGGGGAAAAGAGCTTTAGTCTACTACTTTTAATGATGCCTATGCCCCCCACCCAAGACCTAAGTGCCCCAATCCAAAGGATTTTGCACATGGAACAGGGCAAGAGGGCTCCTCTGTATATATTTTTAAAATTTGTTGTTGTTGAGAATATACACAGCAAAACACACACCAATTCAAAAGTTTCGACATGTACAATTCAGTGACATTGATTACATTCTGAGTTGTGCAACCATTCTCACCCTCCTTTTCTGAGTTGTTCCTCCCTCCTTAAGATTAACTCACTGCCCCCTAAGGTTCCTATCTAATGTTTTGAGTTGCTGTTGTCACTTTACTGCCATATGGGTAGTTCTTAAAAGAGCATAATGCTCAAGGCAGACATTCTTATATTAGTTAGGCTAAACTATTGTTTGGTTTTAAGAAGACTTCAGAGGATATTTTTGGTTTAAGGTTTAAAGATTATCTCAGGGCAATCGTTTCACGGGTTCATTCAGCCTCCATGGTTCCAGAAAGTCTGGAGTCCAAGAAAATTTGAACTTATGTTCTGCATTTTCCCCCTTTTGATCAGGATTCTTCTATGGAATCTTTGATTAAAATGTTCAGTAATGGTAGCTGGGCACCATCCAGTTCTGGTCTCACGGCAAAGGAGGCAGTTGTTCACGGAGGCAATGAGCCACACATTCCATTTCTTCCTCCTATTCCTGACTCCTTCTTCCTCTGTTTTTACAAGTGAAAAGAGACCAATTATTGTGCCTTGCATGGCTGCTTTGCAAGCTTTTGAAGACCCCAGGAACTAGGCAACGAACTAGGAGATAGAACAGAAGCACTAAACATGTTATTAGGCCAATTAACTGGGATGCGCCATGAAACCATGACCTTAAACCTCTAAACCAAGGAACCAAATCCCATGAGATGTTTGGTTGTACATAAGCAGCTTCAGTAGCTACTTTTCTTTTTTTGCTTTATTTTAAGTATGTTATGGATTGAATTTTGTCCTCCAAAAATGTGCGTCAACTTGGCTAGGCCATGATTCCCAGCACTATACGATTGTCCATTTTGTTATCTGATGTGATTTTCCTGTGTTGTAAATCCTACCTCTATATTAATGAGGCAGGATTAGAGGCAGTTATGTTAATGAGCAGGACACAGTCTACAAGATTAGGTTTTGTTTTAAGCCTATCTCTTTTGAGATATAAAAGAGAGAAGCCAGCAGATAGACAGGGGGACCTCATACTACCAAGAAACAAGAGCCAGGAGAATAGTGCGTTTTTTGGACGTGGGGTCCCTGCACTGAGAAGCTCCTTGACCGGGGAAGATTGATGACAAGGACCTTCTCCCAGAGCCAACAGAAAGAGAAACGCTTCTCCTGGAGCTGGTGCCCTGAACGCAGACTTCTAGGCTCCTAGTCTGTGAGAGAATAAACCTGTTTGTTGAAGCCATCCATTTGTGGTATTTCTGTTATAGCAGCACTAGATAACTAAGACACATATCACACAACTTTTGCCAATGCAACTCTTCAGGTGTACAACTTATTGACAGTAGTTACAATAACTGGCTATGCGACCCTACCCTTAAGCGATGTGATTTTTCCATCACCAGAAACTGAAACTCATTACTCCATAAGCAATAACCCCCGCTTTCCCCTTCCCTGTCACCCCTGGTAACCACTAATACACTTTGGTCTCTACATATTTGCATTGTCTTATCTTTTTATATAAGTGAGGTTACACAATATTTGTCCTTTTGTGATTGGCTTCTTTCACTCAGCATGATGTCTTCAAGCTCCATCCGTACTGCAGCACGTATCAAAACTTCATTTCTCCTACTGGCTGAGGAGTAGTTCATTGTATGTGTGTACCACATTTTGTTTCCTCTGTACATTCTGATAGAACTTTCCCCATTCCCCTGCAGTACCCCCAGCAAGCAGTCATATTCTTTCACATTTAGGACCCTGGTCCTTCTTTATTTTTTTTTATTGTGGTAAATATACACATAACAAAACATTTGCCATTTCAACATTCTTCACAGGTGCAGTTCAGTGACATTAATTATGCTCATCATGTTATGCAACCATCACATTACCTGTTTCCAAATTTTTCCATCACCCTTACCAAAAGCTCAGTGCCCCCTAAGCAATGACTCCTCCCTGCCCCGTCCTCTCACCTCTGGTAACCACTAACACACTTTGGTCTCTATAACCTGCCTGTTCTGTGTATTTCATGTAAGCGGGATCACACAATATTCGTTCTTTTGTGACTGGCTTATTTCACTCAGCATGTTTTCCAGGTTCATCCATGCTGTAGCAGGTATCAGGACTTCATTCCTTTTTATGGCTGAGTAATATCCCATTGTATGTATGTATCACATTTTGTTTATCTATTCATCCTTTGATGGACATTTAGGCTGTTTCCACCTTTTGGCTATTGTGAATAGTGCTGCAGTGAACACCGGTGTACAAGTACCTGCTTGCGTTCCTGCCTTCAGTTCTCTGGCGTATATACCTAGGAGCGGAATTGCCGGATCATATGGTATTTCCCTGTGATGCTGGTCTTTGACAAGTCTTCTTACATATCTAATTCTGAAAGTGTTACCACATCCCAAGCCTCAAACGTGGTTTTTTAGTTACACCCTTACTGAATTCCTCTTCTTGACCTCTTATATCCACACCTGTCTAAAGAAAAATGAACACAAAACAAGAATACAGCAAAACACTGAAAGGAGCATTCTAATTTTGAAAATTTTTAATCTTCTCATGCCACATAACAATGAGCTATGGTGTGTCACCAATCGGTGTAATTAACTTCTCACCTTTTATTCCTTATGAATTTACATATCCAATTATCTTTCTATTTAATTTCTCATGGTTTTGTTACATTGACTAAAACTTTTTAACAAGAAAATTCTCCTAATTTAATGGACTTTGCAGTTCATTTGTAACCAGTCCGTTTTTCAAGTAGTTTTAGGATTACTGAATGTTACTGAGTAACGCTGTAATTCCTGGCAGGATTCAGAGTATGTAAATTACTTGTCCGCCGGGACAATTGCTGAAAAGATTTCGTGGATAGAATTACGCAGTGCGTCGGGGACTGCTGATATGATGTGGCAGGGTGAATTACATAAAAACAATGCTGATTTTCATGCACAGTCTCTCCTCAGTGGTTACTGCACCGGTGTATTTAATCAAAACAGGCGCCAGTTCAGATAACAGAGCCAACAGCACTGTGTTTGCTCCACTAGAATTTCTGCTTTGTTTCTTCTGGGAATTCTGCATCTAGTCCTACTGTTTTTGTCAAAGTAGGCACAGTAAGTAATCTCCTAAAGGGAGGGACATTCTGATCTCAGAGGCCCTGGATGGTGCAAGTGGTTAATGTGCCTACTGGCTACCTGACACGTGGGAGGTCTGAGTCCACCCAGAGGCGCCTTGAAAGAAAGGCCTGGCAACTGACTTCCAAAAAATCAGCTACTGAAGACAGTTCTACTCTGACACATATGGAGTCAGAATCAACTCCATGGCAAGTGGTTTATTCTGGTGCCAGGAAAACCCCAACCTGCCAAGTTGCTGCAGCATCAGAAAGTAAATGTGGACAAACTCAGAACACGCTGCCGAGTGACTACGGTGGGGGATGGATAACATTTCAGGGCTTCGGTCTCGTCTCTTGGATGAGATTTTTTTTATTTGGCTGATGTATGTGCGAAGTTGACTTTCCTAGTTACCAGGAAGGCAAACTGAAGCTGTGGCTGTCCACCATATTCGATTCCTATCATCAGCAACAATGGATGCTTCAGAATCTAACAGCAAATGGAGGCTCCTTATTAAATAAGCTCCTTATTAAAATAAGACTGGTAATGGGAGAAAATTATTTGTTTTGTGAGGAAGGAAAGGAGATCGCCTTTGTTTTTCCTAGCATTTTGGGAGTTAAGACCACAATTTAAGACAATCTGATATAGTTTGTTCAAGGAATTATCAAACACTACACTTGGACATTTGGATATCAAGTTAGGACTGAGGTACTTAGACAGACATGGGCCATATGCTGTCAGAAAGCAATCTCATTCCAAAGCAGAGCTGAGAAACACAGTATTAGGAGACTTTATTCAAACAGAGATATTATATCATTTATTTTTTATTTCTAGGCTTCCATTCCCTTTTTCAAAGGGAGGGCAGTTCTATTTTGAACATAATTTAGGATAAGACCCAGCTCTCTGATTTATGCAAAAGGACATAAATTCACAAATTTGCCTGGTCTACTTTCATTTTTCAGTAAGGAGTTGTGTGCAGCTGCTGTTTCTGGCAAAATGAAAAAACAGTGGAAGTGGAAAGTGAATAGCTCATAAAGGGCAATCATTTCTTCTTCATCAAACCCATCAGGTCATCTTCTATTCCTCTCTCACTCAGCTCATCTAAACTGTAGTACCGATGAACGATTTTTTCGGTGGTGACCACCACCACTCGCAGCCCATGGGTGTCTTTGCCCAGCTGGCATCCGATGGCAGACGACACCACCATGTCGAGGTCCTGGTAGATGCCTCCCGCATTCCTGTGGTAGTGACCTGAGAACACAGCTTTGATACCTGCAGGGAAGGGAAAGAGACACTGTGGAGGCCAGAGATTTTCATTTAGGTAACTAGGGGGCTCCAAGGTTGTATTTTGTGTTTTTTTTTAATGGACTTTATTTATTTTTATTGTACTTCAGATGAAGTTTTACAGAACAAATGAGTTTCTCGTTAAACAATTAACACACATATTGTTTTGTGACATTGGTTGCCAACCCCATGACACATCAACACTCTCCCTTCTTGACCTTGGGTTCCCCATT